ATCCGCTAGCACGAGCCTATACCAGCTATGGTTTAGGGACAGGGGTTGTGTAGGACCTAAAGACGCCTCGGCTACGCTGTTCGAATAGGCAAGTTTTCACAGTGGTATAGCAAGGCAGCCCATACACATATCCTTTGATATTCAGTTACATATCACGCTCAACCCGAGACTCTCATAATCGTAACCTCATCTTTTACACTAGAATTGGAACCGGTACAACTTCCAATATACTTAAGACGCTCCACGTCTTTGGATACCTATTCCTGAGTTGTAAGAGGCATGCCCAGTGACTGCATGCTCAAGAGCACAAACTTACACTTTTTGAGTGTAAACCACATTCTGATGGACGGGCCAATTCACTCAAGACCACTTGTGGCTCTTCCCCTCTGACAAGACGAGAAAAATGACATCTGCACATTCCATATTGACAAGTTTTTCGCCATAAGCTAGTTGAACACCGGGGTTTTGGATACCTTCCAGCTTCCATTTTATTATTTTGGCGATCACAAATTGAAATATGAATGGAGAGAATGACCACCCCTAATGGATACTACGAAAAATTTCGGAGGGCTCTGCTTATATCCTTCAAAGTCTGAAAGTCTGAGATTGCGAAGCACCTATCAAGTTCACAAGCTCTCAGGTTCATAGGGCTGTAGAATGGCTTGTCTCGTTGATATGAGGGATATGACATGCCATATCACTGATCACTACTGGGGATAACTGGGTGGTGATTTTGAGTGACTTGCTCTGCCCTTACATTCTGGTGTGAAGTGCACACCAAATCGTGTGACCGAAATTATCTACGTATCTGAAGGATCTGAATGAAGAAGCGCAATAATGTCAGCACACTTAGTGTCTGCGGGTGAATTCATAACAATCTCACCACATTCTTTGGTGTAGAGCATCGGGACCGTATGCCTTGTTACGTTGAAAAAATGATATATCAAGCTGTATTGTTGATGTTGAGGCCAGCCTGATGTCGATGTTCCATTCTTGCCCGCTCGGTTTTTTCAGGGGCTGTGTTGAATAGGACCAACTGTGTTGTCCTTTAAATTGTTCATCCTGTCGCTCAGAACAGTGATTTTGTGAATGGTCGTTCCATCATTTTTGCGTATTGTTTTGCTGGCGCTTGTCTTCTTTTGGTCAGTAGATTGGACCAGTTAAAGTGGAGCGCAGCTATCGCTTGCAGCAAAAACCTTCTCCGTCTCTTGGACCCTCGCAATCCATTGGCATTCTTCGAATTTTTCTAAGCCTTTGATTATCCAGTGTTTGAGGGATCAGTGTGCGCCATAAAGGTCGCTAGGTCCTAGTCTGACCTTTCTGACAGCATTAAAAAGATCAGCTTATCTCAAAGATATACACCGTCAATTTAGCGGAATCCGATGACTTGGAAAGAGTCTTCTAAAACCTGAGAACATAGCTCCTTCAACACACTTTCACCCAACTTCCAACCAACCTTGGTCAACGGCATGACAGTGTTTCCAGTAGCTTTTAAGCCAACTTGACGTTTTTGGAGTGCTAACAGTTGTAGAGGATGATGAGTAAAACTGCTCTGCTTTGGTACAGATAGTGCTAAAGGAGAGTGAAATGATATGATCAGAGTCGAGTCACGTAGCCCAGAAGGAACGACAATCTTTAAGTGAGGCTCTTCTTTAGCAGCTGAAAACCACATGACCCGACTGAGCACATAACTAGATTGCGTTTGACAGCCTTTAATTAACTCGAAATGAGCGTTTGTACTGAAAGTAGGCACTAGCCATGAGCGTACAATGATCAGCACGCAATTGAAACAGTCGCTCTCTATTATCCGTACGCTAACATTCACCCCAAATCTATCACTTCCGGACTTAGCCACCCAACTTTGGCATTCATATCACCCGCCAGGATTACTATATCCGTCCTTCTTGTTGACCGCTGCTTTAGATGCAAAATGCTCAAAGCTTAATCGGAATCCACGTCGGACCGGACTTATTGCACACATATTATGTTCGTTACAGTGTGGCAACAGGGACACACACTGGGAAATACAACTCTCTTGCCAGATACTTTTTTCAGGATGGCAAACTTCTTTGGACATAAGAGGCGGTCACCATCAAAGCCATTTTGATTTTTACGCCACCTACGTTTCAGTGCATAAAACTAACCGCTTCCGGATACTTGGTCTATCCCTAACCGGGTGTCTTCAAAGCATTTCTCGACCAACGCCTTTAGTCTTAATCTCCTAATGTTCTCAGTGACATATCGTCCAAATGCACCATGTTGTACATGGATTAGTATACCAGCCTGAAGCCTAGTGGACACAACTACTAATTTGTCTCTCATGAAGGTCCAGATTTCTTCACGCAATGAGCACTCTGATTAGCTCGATGCTTTTAAATTTCATTCGTTCTTAGTAAAAAAGCAAGGGAGACACAAGTAAAAGGAATGGATTGAGCCCTTTACCGCACATGGATTTGACACCACACCTTAGTAATCCCACTTGTGACGACGCACATTCTAAAGATGCCGGTTTGATTTGGTTTTACATATATGCTCATCACCGCCATTCCATGTGTGGTAGCTCAGTGTGAGGGCGAGGTAGCTCAGTGGTTAGAGCGCGAATTTACTGACTGGAGGTTCTTGGTTCGAACCCAAACTCTGCCTCTCGAGTAACCCTGTATAGGGTTGGGAGACCTGGCAGTATTCCAGCCGTCGTGCTTCCTTCTAGTGGCACGGCAGCTAGGCGCCGAAAGGACGTTACAGCTGAACGATGTGCGGTAACCTAAACGCGACTGATGCCATTCGATTCATGTGATTGTTTTCGGCGACTTTGTAGCCACATTTTCCCATCTCACTGAAAAGAAAAAAACGCTCACTTATAGCAACACTATCGTTTTATTGGTTTGCAATAAACTCCAGAAATAGCTCAGGATCAGGCAGATTAAACTTTTTTCAAGTGTTTCAGCTCGCATCTCTTACAAACCTATATCGTGACTTTCCACAATTCTAGACTAGTTCGAAAACATGCAGCGTCTCAGTGTCAATATGCTGTCGGTAAATTTCGCCAAATTATCATTTCGTCCTTCCCATGATTTCTCAGGTAATATTAAATCGGATGTCCGTAGTGTTTCGCTTTTCGTCAAAGGACTCATAACGACCTTTAAATTCCTTGTGTATCATATCGGCCTTTATCAGAATCAGTGGTTGTCACGTTTTTTGATGTGGTATTTACTTCGGAGAAGTATCGGGTGGTTTTCATTAGGTTGTCTTGTGTCAAAACATGGCTTGATCCCTTGTATCTTTCTTTATCCTCCACATTAGATGTTTTAGCATCAGTTAGTCAAGCTGCATTATTTGATTGAACTGATGATTGATGAAAGTGTTTATTTCATAACGTCATCTTAAAATAATGGCAAACGATAGATAATAGAATCCAATGACAATGAAGCTACCTCGAATACTTGTCTAGATGCCTAGGTTTTTGTGACACAACTAGTTGGGGAAAAACCACTCCTTCACAGTTACAGTCGCACTGCATCCATTGGTATTTAAACGTGTTTTCCCAGTTACCTAATGAATGCAGGCAAAACCGATCAGTCTATACGACCACCTGAGTCTGATTCTGACCGCAAAGCAGTGGCAACAAGCTAAGGGTGTAAGGCACAATGTATCGAATGTCCGACAGCATTTCGGGATATCCTAGACTTCACCATATAGGACCAACTAATGTTGGTATGTCTGTGATCTCTGATGACAGTTCACTATATCTTGGATTTTATGGCAGACTTGCATGATTTTTCTGTTTTCGCGACACCGTCGAAAACTATGCGACGATATGTTTAACATTAGGTTTACCTGTTTGTATCAAGTTGTTTTTCATTGCAAGCTAGGTATTTCCTGCCTAAGTCAAGAGGTAATTTAATTTTGTAAAATTATACTATCTTTCCAACGAACAACTTCCTAAGCCTGATTAGTTTGGTGAAAACTGCGTTCAAACGAACTGACTAGGATCAAAACATTGATTCTCCAAGCATATTTTCAAACGTTTGAATAAATTTTCTCACTTACAGAACAACATTCACATAAGTTTGTTCAAGTGGATCTCAAGACATAATGCGTTAGAAGGAAATGACAGAAATAAGTGTTGGTCTTTTAACTACTTCATCAAATGAAAATTCACCCAAAAAATAACTGGTCCAGTGTCAGCTATATCCTCAATCGAATAATGTGAGGATACAAAATGAATGCTTAGAATGCAAGCATGCGCAACTGAAAGGTGTGATCATTTAGCCAATGTCAAAAGGTATTAATTCTGGAAAAATTTCCCGGACCCGACTCCATCACATTTACTGCTTTTATCGAAGCAGCCCCTTTTTGTGTTAAGCTGAAATTTGAAATAGTCCGAAACTTTACTTTGATTTGATTTGCTGAGATTAACAGCTGACGCCGTGCCTTTAACAGCGTAAGTACTTCGTCCTTTTTGAAGGCTTATTTAGTTCGATTAACCGGTCTGCAGTTTAATGTAATACACTCAAAAACAGCCGTCCAACACTTGGAAATACCAAACTACTTGTAGCCAGACGTCACCCTACAGAGCACCCTGATCTTTCTCATTATTATTGTTTCGTCAGAATGGCAACCACTTCCAAGTGCCGGTGCAGATTCAACTATCTTGGAATCCCACACTTTTCACTTATCAATGCTAAACTTGCTCACTATGTCATTGCCTTCTGTCCAAACACGTTTTCACTCAATATTCTGCGCAGACAGCGTAGCGAAAAATCTCTAAATCATTTTGTCGCTGTCAGGTTCAGTGGCAACCTCGGGTCTGTCCCTGATGGGGGACCTGATTGCTGCCAAGGCATGCGCTCAGCAGTTTCACGTAATCGATGTATTTCTCTGTTCTCTTCCACATATGTGCTGACACAGACCATATGTTTTCCGTCTCCCACTAACTCTTCCTTCCATCATTCATTCAGCTGTCATTCTGAGGGTACATCGCACATCAAATCCGTTCATCATTGAAGTTCTCCTTCTCTGAGTTGCCTTTCAGTTCGTTAATGGTAAGCTCCAGTTCCATTTTTCAAGCGTTCTCTAGTTCCTACTCTTCGTAGTCAATCTATGCTTTCCAATCATCCTTCATGCTACTGAGACAACCGAAACACAATATCCGATCATACTTGTACCCGGTGATGGGGGAAGTCAGGCTTATTGCAACCCAAAAGGAAACGGAGGAAGCTTCCTCATCTGGGTCAACCTTCTTTACTTCTTTGCACCTGGCACACTCTATGAATACATTCGGTAATCATTTGGCCTGTTTGTAACGTCCTTCTCGTTACAGCATTAAATATGACCCCAAAACTGGAGAGGTGAGCGATTCGGATCTCTGTGACGTTACCTTCCCCGGATGGGGTGACACATGGTCAATCGAGAATTTAGACACATACAGACACAGTGCGACTGTTTACTTAGAACATCTTATAAATTCTCTCCGACAAGATCCCTTTTATGTATCCAATAAAACATTACGTGGAACACCGTTTGATTTCCGAAAAGCTCCAAGTATCCCATTGTTGATTTCCTAGTATATTCAATTTATAGATGAGAATCCTGATTTTGTACGAGACTTGCGATTACTGATAGAAGAGACATACTCTGTGACCGGATCACGCCGAGTCGTTCTTCTCGGCCACAGTCTTGGAGCCGTTTATTGCTTGGCATTTCTAAACGCGCAGTCCGACTCATGGAAGCGGAAGTACATTAAAACATTTCTGTCTATCAGCGGACCCTACGGTGGATCTGTAAAAGCATTCAAAATAGAAGCCAGTGGTAAGTCTGATTCTACTTGTTTGAATGACGATTGTTCCAGTGGTCGACTTAAGCAAATTCATACAGGTACCAAAATAACGGTGTGTGGTTTCCTAACTGAACCAGTAATGCTGTCATTGAGACCACCATTTTATCCAGATAACCTGTGTAAAGGAGCCGTTGGTTTTCACCTAAAATCAGTTGTTGTACACCATTCAGGTTAATCTCTACACGTGACTTCTCGGTCCTGTTTTGTCTAGTGCGAGCGAATAAACTGCTGTCATTATAGCCATTTCTTTGATCAATAACCAAACAATCGACTGTCAACTCATTGTGACGTGAGAAGATTTAATAATATACAATAGGGTTCAACCACTAGCCGGACGTTTGGATGCTCGTGGGATACGCACTAATTTACGACAATTGGTTGAATATACTCGTAAAAGTCAAGAAAAGAATGGAGGTAGTGAGCAAAGTTTGTTTTCTGTGGATGCTTCTCGTAGTTATTACATCACAATTTTACGTGGTACCAGAAACCACGTGGGGAGGTCATGTGGAAATCAATGGTACATTCACTTTGATGGAAGGAAAAATATAAATAAAAGAAAGTGAGGTTGGATAAGAGGTACACGGGTCAATGGGTCATGGAATCAAGTAGGTGACGTTAATGTCAGACAAGTTTGTGGAATCGAATTTTTCGCAGACCAGCTCAAGTTCAGCGTTCGCACAAGTTGTGGGTTCATTGATTGGACCATTGGATTCCATTCACCTTTGCACTAAGCCACCGCCTGTATAATGAACGTGACACGATCCGAGAGAACACTTATAAGCCAGAACGTAAACAAGCCCAGTGTACAGGCGTACTAAGAACGCTCTGACTTCAACGCCTATGCTCGACTCTTTAGTGGCAAACGGATGGATGCCAGAGAGAAGATACTCTTCAGCCAGCTCAATCCAGTGACACTAAGCACGAAGTTCCCGGTTAATCCAGAAATGTACGTGCACAACTTTTCTTCATTACCGCTGGACACTGCCCATTTGGAGACGTTATCACTAGATCAAAAAATTTTGTCCTAGTCGTGAGAGTAGCCAGATGGAGCTTGAGGTGAAACTTGAAAATCTATATGATCACCAATCCGTGCTAACACCTTCCTCTGAGCTGAGTGTACAACAACTGAAACCGACGTTAATCAGTTCATTTTACCAATATCTCGGCCACAAACTCAGGCTTAAGCAACTTTAAACAAAGGAACGTTTACGGCAGAACGAAGAAGACGCAGGACTTGCCTGGATGTATAAATCTGGCCATATGGATAAGATGAATGTCATCGCCTAGAAAAACAAGATATGGTTGACTGAAAAAGCGATGTCCAAAGTATTACAATCTCTAGAACAATCCGAAAACATTGATAGTAAAACTTCTGAGCGTATTCGCCCTATCGGTCTAACGGCGGTTACTCCGGTACAATAATTCTTTGGCTTTGTGGTCTTCATGGAGTGCATAAGCCCGACCTCAGACCCATCCTCCTTACCGTTCCTTGGCTAAATGGCTTGTCAGTTTGTTAGAACCAATCAAAAGAGAAGTGTCAACACAGCCCGACAGGCAGTTTTACTTTCGTCGATCATATAAAAAATCTGAGGACTGATAAACACTCTATGTTCTCCCTGCTCATTAACTTGCTACTCACTGACGCAATAGACCATGTTTGTGACTTTGTTGAGTGCAGCGACAACGATATTGGCATTCTAATTTCAGATGTTAAAAATCTATTGCTAATCTGTACCGAAAGCGTTCGATTTACTTTCAGTAATAAGCTTTGTCGGCAGAAGGATGGAGTCGCGATAGGGTCTCCGACAGGTCCCATGTTGACAGGTTTTTCATGATTGAACTCGAGACTCAGAAATTAAACGCATTCATTGCACAGCTCAGAGTATGTGTTCGCTATATGGATGATATCTATGTGCTTGCCGTCGAAACTATCAGCACAACAGACCTGCTAAGCAGTTTCAGTTCAGTTCATGCTAATCTCAAGGTTATCGTCGAGCCAGAAGACGACGGGCAGTTAAGTTATCTCCAGGTCAGCAATTAAAATAAGTCTGATGGGACCATACAGCGCAAAGCCCACACAAAGCCAACCTGAAGAAGCCAGTATATTCGTTTTGGTAGCTTTTCCCGTCCCAACAGAAATGTAAACTAATGAGATACCTAACTGAGAGAATAATGAAGTTATGACCTTCCAACTGCCTGCAAGGAGAACTAAAGTTCTGAGGATGCAGAACGGATGTCCTGAACGGTTCATACTCGATACTACACGATTTCTATAGCCCAAGCCTAAACAGACACCAGTTGGGAAGAAGCCCCTCTACATGAGGTTCCCATTTCGGGATTCGGTTGCTGAGCTAATCACCAGGAGGCTCAGAAACTCAATTGATACTGCATACATAGCTGCTAATCTATGCCTGAGCTTCAATTTCAGCCCCATTATCAGGTTCCGCTTGAAGGAAAAATTGCCACCTTCTACCACCGGGTTTGTGTGCGCTCATGCCGAGCATTATACGTTGGTCGCACGATAACACAACCCCGTTTCTCTAAGTGGTACTTAGAAGAAAACGGGCTCAATTGCAGCTGCATCACATTTTGCCGAAACCAGTCATGTCACAGGCGAACAACATGTCTTCGGCATAATGTACCGCGTACCTCTGAACCGATCACGGCTGGTATGATACAGACTGCCATCGATCGCAGAGGGAATTGGAATCCAATTAATGAGTCCAAAACTTTGCTTCTAAAAGAAACTTGTGTGACCTCTGAACTTGAGCTGGTCTGCGAACAGTCTAATTCGACAAACTGGCCTGGCATTAACGTCACTTAATTGAATCCATGACCCATTGACCTATGTACCTCTTATTCAACTCCACTTCTTTTTATTTATACTTTCCTTCCACTAAAGTGTATGTACTTCTGCTTTCCACATGTCCTTTTCCACGTGATTTCCGGCACCATATAACATTGTAATGTATTGGCCAATAGGAACAACCACATAAAACAATGTTTTTTTTTCGCTGCCTGCGTTCTTCACAAGAATCAAACAGCTGCTGTACAGTGCTCCTTGGCTTTTCACTATAGATTAGTTTCACTGGCAGGATGAGTCCTCTGTTGGATCGATCTTTGGACCGATTACTGAACTGTACCATTGTGTTGAAATTCTGTAGCATGAATTTCACTTAATTTGGAAACCACACTTGCTTTAATTGCGGTCACAATGTTTTCTGATCTTTGGTGGCTTTTCCGACCGATTCTCTTACTTTACTATTTCGTATATAAGAATGAGTCGATTCCAATAGTGTTCCGGAGGACTTGAACTTACAATCAGCGATTTACAGCTCGTCCAGCACAAACTATCGGCCAGTTTCGGTCGGTGGACCTCGTAGACGGTACGAAATCCCATGCAATCAAAACTTATTTTCTCGATTGGTATCCAGATTTCCAGATGGGTGGCTCACACAAATACTTACAACTTAAAAGGATTTATTGAAGGTTGAAACCTAGGCGTGGTTCAATAAATGGACAAGGTGCACCGTGATTTCATTCAACCAGATTCGAGGATTATAGGGATAGGACTGCTCGATAGTAGAACTCGTGGTTACCCTTGTATAATACTAAGATGAAAACCCTAGTTGGTTGGAATAGGAAACACTAGGATCAGAACCACGATATTCACGAACGCTAGACTGCTTAGAAGCTTTAAGTACTCCCATAGTATCATGAAAAGTGAATGGGCATTTGCAAATAAAAACATTTTCGGGATCACTGAATCATTCCCATCGTCATACCCGTGTGCTCTGATAAACAGCAGAAACGGACAGACCCGTCCAAGGTGCCGTTCTTAATCTGGATGGAGTATAACTATATAGTCATTAGATTAGATTTCCCAAGTAAACAAGCGCATTCCTCACAACGTTGGACAAAGTACACAAAGAGCTTTCAGTATGTTTTTATTGTCGAAAAATTAAGGGGGAAAACTCTGAAGATTCACCTTTGATTGAAAAATCATACATTGCATGATCGCTCAAGCACTTTCCTTTTTTGGGTGAAAGCTATCTGTTGCGATAGTCAATTTACCTGAACTGAGCACAAGGTGATCCAAGTCTTTTGCGTTAGGTACCTACTGCGGTGCTTTTAGAGGTGAACTACAAACATAATACAACTCAGAATCAAGTAGAATATAAGGCTGACGGCAACTCGGGTATTGCATCTACTTGATGAGCCTCAAGTAGGGCAAAACTGGTCGTGGACTTTTTTCAGCCACATTATGAGTACCGTACCGTCAAGAAAGTACCGATACGCCCAATCTCATCCGGGGAATCAAAAAGACGTGCAGTTCAAAGTTTCGATACTTCGGATGTTTTACCAGTTGTGGAAAGTTCGCAGGTCAGCCAAATCACTTATGCTTTCCGTTTAAGTGGAGGTTTTTGAAATTATTGTGGGTCCTGTTTTACTTTCCAGCTCATTGTCTGTTAGCGCACGAAATACGAAATCACCTCTTCTCATCTTATGTATGATACTTGAATATTACAACCAGGCTTTTCGAAAAGCGTTTCGGAAACATTTGGATGTAAACTTATTGCATATTGAAACCATGAAGAGGAATCTCTTTCCGTAGAGGCAAGCCCCTGTAGAATACTTCACTTCCAGGAAGGCACGGTCTAACACACCATCCCTCGGAATAAAAACCAGCCTCTCGGAAATTTCACTACTTCGTTCCTATCAAAGCCTACACTTGGCAAATATTAGCACTAACGTCGAAGAGCATGACCTTGTACGACAAAACGCTCATTTGCGAGCAAGCGTGACCGGCTAATAGCATGTCGCTTAGAATTAAATAACCTAAGACCACCCCAGTTTGTTTACATCCATACCCTCTAAACTGAACGAAGATGCATGTGAACAGGGTCCTGTGTGGTAATGCAGGAGCGCCTGTCTTGATGTTGAGAGCGTGACATTTTCCCAGAAAAACTGG